AGAGACGGGGTTTCACCATGTTGACCAGGATGGTCTCAATCTCTTGACCTCGTGATCCACCCGCCTCGGCCTCCCAAAGTGCTGGGATTACAGGCTTGAGCCACCGCGCCCGGCCGATTTTTATTTTTTAATAAGACCTACTTCCTAGGTTGTTGTGTTTGTGTGTGTTCATCATTAGTTCTTCCATCTTGTGAAGTTAGCAGCAGTTAACTATGACTGATGCCCAATGATATTTTAATTCTATCATTCTTTCAGCATTCATCAACTGTAATAGAAGTTTTTCCTTGTCTTCTGTTTGAGGTGTAGATTTTAAAAATACATTATTAAGTGAAATCTACTACTCAAAAAAAGCAGAACAAAACCCACTACATATGAGTGGCTCTACCATACGTTGGTGGATAGAAATAGTAGATATTTGGTAAGCAGGCAAACCTTATTTATTTGTAGCCCTGTGACTTGGGGTAAGTTACTTTGCATGTCTGAGTCTTTTTTATCTAATTTGTAATATGAAGATAATATTATTACTATTTTATTGTTTTTATTTTTGAGACAGAGGCTCACTCTGTCACCCAAGCTGAAGTGCAGTGGGGTGATCTCAGCTCACTGCAACCTCCACCTCCCACATGTAAGCAATTGTCCTGCCTCAGCCTCCCGAGTAACTGGAACTACAGGCATGAACCACCATACCTGGCTAATTCTGTGTATTTTTAGCAGAGACAGGGTTTCACTGTGTTAGCCAGGATGGTCTTGAACTCCTGACCTCGTGATCCGCCCACCTCGGCCTCCCAAAGTGCTGGGATTAACAGGTTTGAGTCACTGCAAGTCACTGCGAGCCTGGGTCAGCCTTATTATTATTGTTATTATTTTTTGAGACAGAGTCTTGCTGTCTTGCCCAGCCTGGAATGCAGCGGTGTGATCTCAGCTCAGTGCAACCTCCACATCCCAGGTTCAAGCTAATCTCATGCCTCAGCTTCCCGAGTAGCTGGGATTACAGGTGCCTATCATCATGCCTGACTAATTTTTTTTTGAGACAAAGTTTTGCTCTTGTCCAGGCTGGAGTGCAATGGCGCAATCTCAGCTCACTGCAACCTCTGTCTCCCAGGTTCAAGCGATTCTCCTGCCTCAGCCTCCCGAGTAGCTGCTACCATGCCTGGGTAATTGTGTATTTTTAGTAGCGAGGGGGTTTCTCCCTGTTGATCAGGGTTGTCTTGAACTCCCAACCTCAGGTGATCTACCCACCTTGGCCTCCCAAAGTGCTTAGATTACAGGCGTGCACCACCATGCCCAGCCTAATTTTTAAATTTTTAGTAGATACTGGGTTTCACTACGCTGGGCAAGCTGGTCTTGAACTCCTGACTTCAAGTGATCCACCCATCTCAGCCTCCTAAAGTTCTGGGATTATAGGCATGAGCCACCATGCCAGGCTGAAGCTAATATTATTAGCTAATATTAATATCTCATATTTCTGACCATGGAATTATTAAAGGAACCTAACCCATAGTAAGTGCTTTAAAATGTTGGTTTTTATTCATCTATTTATTTGACTATAACCACCTCCTTTGCTTAGGTAGAAAGATATATTCATATACACACACATATACATTTTATTCATTCTTTCATTCATTTACTCCTATATGTCATTCACTTCTATGTGGTCATTGTGTTTGTAGGGTTTTTACCCCCCACAGTTAAAAAAGTAACCCTTAATGCTTTCAGATGAATAACAAAGTAGTGTTCCCGGCTTCTGTGGCTGACAGGATTTGCCTTCTTCCTTTCTAAATGAAAGTTATTACTGGGTCAAATATAATTAATGTTTTAAAGTTTGTTGCAGTAAAATAGTTGATGGTTCTAATTCATACTTTCTGTGTGTTTTATCTGTTTTTGTTTTGTTGGTTCGTTTTGTTTTTGTTGTTTTATCTGTTTTTGTTTTGGTTTGTTTTTGTTTTGTTGGTTCATTTTGCAGTGGTGTGATTTCGGCTCACTGCAACTTCCACCTCCCGGGCTCAAGTGATTCTCCTGCCTCTGCAGGAGTAGAGATTACAGGAGTGTGGGATTACGGGAGTGTGCCAACATGCCTGACTAATTTTTTTGTATTTTTAGTAGAGATGGGGTTTCACCATGTTGGCCAGGCTGGTATGGAACTCCTGACCTTGTGATCTGCCCACCTCAGCCTCCCAAAGTGCTGGGATTGCAGGCTTGAGCCACTGTACCCAACCTCATGTTTTATCTTTAAAGCTTTTCAGTGTGTATATAAAGTATTGTATGTATCATACAGAATAAATTTGATTATGGAGCATTTTGTAACATCTTTCAAAGTGACTAAGAATTGGTTTTTATGTTTTGTTTGAAGTTATATAGGACATTAGAAGTATTAATGTCTCATCGCTTCTTAGCCTTTTGGCTAAGATCAAGTGCAGAATTATTAATATCTCATCAATTAGGGAATTGTTTTTGAGTGTGACTTTGTACTTTCTTATTTGTGTTAGTGAACTAGAGAACCAAAAGAGGATATGTAATGTAATATGAAGCTAGTCATTTAAAGATTTAATATTTTGGATATTTTCAAGTTGGTGTCTATTTTCACCCTCAAAAATGCTTTGTGCCTGTTTATGAAAGATGTTACTTTAAAAGTAAGGACTGGTAGATGGGAAAGGTGACATCAACATATTCCTGTCTTTCAGTAACTTAAAAGATCTGAGAGTAGATATACCAAAGACAGTAAAAATGACCTGTGTACAAATGTGTATTAATAGTAACACATATTTGTTTATTGTGTGCTGGTTAAAAATTGGAGTTTTTCAGAGGTGTGGTGCCAGATAGGTATCTAATTAGGATGGAGAATGGGGAGAATGATCCTGGGAATTCCTAACACAGACTGGTTTGAGAGGATGTAGCCCCTCTGATAAAAATGGGAAAGATCATATATATTATTTATTTTTGGTTTAGTGATAGTGAACCTTAGAGCAAAGCTTAACTGTAAAACCTGCTATTGATAAAAAGATAATTTTAATGTAAGCAAATTGGTATACCTGGCTATTATACCTTTTTTTTTTTTTTTTAACATAGCTTCATTTAACATTCATTTATTAAGGCCCTGCTCTGTACCAGGTATAGTGCCAAGGGTTATAAACAACTTATTAACTCAACAAATATTTATTTGGTAACTAGCATGTGTTAGACACTGTTGTAGGCACTTGGGATATAGACAAGGATCCCTCCTCCATAGCGTTTATATTCCAACAGAGATAAAACAGGTAGTAGACAACAAACATAAAAAATTAGTTATACAGTTTATCAGAAGGTGGTAAATATATGGGGAAAAAAACAAGTGAAACACAATAAGGGGGTTTAGGAATGGACAAGCGGTGGTTTGGTGTTTTGTTTTTGTTTTTGTTTTGAAATGAAGTCTCACTCTGTCACCCAGGCTGGAGTGCAGTGGCGCAGTCTCTGCTCACTGCAACCTCCACCTCCTGGGCTAAAGCACTTCTCTTGCCTCAGCCTCCAGACCTCCCAGATAGCCAATATTACAGTCATCCGCCACTATGCCCTACTATTTTTTGTATTTTTAGTAGAGGTGGGGTTTCACCATGTTGCGCCAGGCTGATCTTGAACTCCTGACCTCAAATGATCTGCCCGCCTCAGCCTCCCAAAGTGTTGGGATTGCAAGTGTGAGCCACAGCACCTGGCCTGGTTTGT